TCCTGAGATTCTGAGATTCTGAGATTCTAAGTTCCTGAGATTCTGAGATTCTGAGATTCTGAGATTCTGAGATTCTGAGATTCTGAGATTCTAAGATTCTGAGATTTTAAGATTCTGAGATTTTGAGATTCTGAGATTCTAAGATTATGAGATTCTGAGATTCTGAGATTCTGAGATTCTGAGATTCTGAGATTCTGAGATTCTGAGATTCTAAGATTATGAGATTCTGAGATTCTAAGATCCTGAGATTCTGAGATTCTGAGATTCTAAGATTATGAGATTCTGAGATTCTGAGATTCTGAGATTCTGATATTCTGATATTCTGAGATTCTGAGATTCTGAGATTCTAAGATTATGAGATTCTGAGATTCTAAGATCCTGAGATTCTGAGATTCTGAGATTCTGAGATTCTGAGATTCTGAGATTCTGAGATTCTGAGATTCTGAGATTCTGAGATTCTGAGATTCTGAGATTCTGAGATTCTGAGATTCTGAGATTCTGAGATTCTGAGATTCTGAGATTCTGAGATTCTGAGATTCTGAGATTCTGAGATTCTGAGATTCTGAGATTCTGAGATTCTGAGATTCTGAGATTCTGAGATTCTGAGATTCTGAGATGTGGAGATTGGGAGATTCTGAGATTGATGAGATTCTGAGATTCTGAGATTCTGAAATTCTGAGATTCTGAGATTCTGAGGTTCTGAGATTCTGAGATTCTGAGATTCTGAGATTCTGAGATTCTGAGATTCTGAGATTCTGAGATTCTGAGATTCTGAGATTCTGAGATTCTGAGATTCTGAGATTCTGAGATTCTGAGATTCTGAGATTCTGAGATTCTGAGATTCTGAGATTCTGAGATTCTGAGATTCTGAGATTCTGAGATTCTGAGATTCTGAGATTCTGAGATTCTGAGATTCTGAGATTCTGAGATTCTGAGATTCTGAGATTCTGAGATTCTGAGATTCTGAGATTCTGAGATTCTGAGATTCTGAGATTCTGAGATTCTGAGATTCTGAGATTCTGAGATTCTGAAATTCTGAGATTCTGATATTCTGAAATTCTGAGACTCTGAGATTTTGAAATTTTGAGATTCTGGGCTCCTGAGATTCTGGGCTCCTGAGATTCTGAGATTCTGAGATTCTGAAATTCTGAGATTCTGAGATTCTGAGATCCTGAGATTCTGAGATTCTGAGATTCTGAGATTCTGAAATTCTGAGATTCTGAGGTTCTGAGATTCTGAGATTCTGAGGTTCTGAGATTCTGAAATTCTGAAATTCTAAAATTCTGATCGTCCGACAAAATAGAAAAAGTGCAAAACACAGAAGACGTTCTGAAAATTGGAAAAAAAAACAAAAAAACATCTGGAAAAAACAGAGATTTTTTTGGATTCTAAGATTTTGAAATGCTCTTAGATTTGCAAATTCTCGAAAATCTAATATGTTCCTTTGTTATTTTAATTAATTTTCCTTTTCTAATTATCCTATGCAAATCCACCCATATCCTTCTTTTTTTTTCCTCCTCTCCCCAAACTCCGCCCCCTTTTCTCATCAGAATCGTTCAACGACCCCCCCCCCCTTTTTGCTGAAGGCCCAACCCCCGATTCCTACTCATTTTATACTTTTCCTAACTCTTTTTTCCAGTGGAAAAAATAAGAGTGTTGGAGACAAAAAGAAGATGCGCTGCCTCGCCGTCGTTCTAATTCTCATTAACGTCATCTGTGCCGTTTCAGCGTTTTATGTGTTGAGGAGCAGCGGTCAAGGAGGTACGTTTTTCATTACATTTTTAAAGAGAGGGTTAACAAGTTCAGAATAACGGATAGGGAATTTTTCAAAAGACAAGTCTTGGCTCAGAAAAATGTACTTTTGTGAAATTTAGTACAGTTCTGGAAATTTTGAAAATCTGAATTTTGAGAATCTCAGAATCTCGGAATCTCAGGAGCCCAGAATATCAAAATTTCAAAATCTCAGAGTCTCAGAATTTCAGAATATCAGAACCTCAGAATCTGCGAATCTTGGAAATTCAGAATCTCAAAATCTCAGAATCTTAACTTTTGAAATCCCTGGAAATCATAAAAGCTAAAATCTTATAAATCTCAGAATCTCAAAATATCAGAATCTCAGAATCTCAGAATCTCAGAATTTCAGAATCTCAGAATCTCAGAATCTCAGAAGCCCAGACCCAGAAACTCAAAATTTCAAAATCTCAGAGTCTCAGAATTTCAGAATATCAGAATCTCAGAATCTGCGAATCTTGGAAATTCAGAATCTCAAAATCTCAGAATCTTAACTTTTGAAATCCCTGGAAATCATAAAAGCTAAAATCTTATAAATCTCAGAATCTCAAAATATCAGAATCTCAGAATCTCAGAATCTCAGAATTTCAGAATCTCAGAATCTCAGAATCTCAGAAGCCCAGACCCAGAAACTCAAAATTTCAAAATCTCAGAGTCTCAGAATTTCAGAATATCAGAATCTCAGAATTTCAGCTGTAATTCCAAAATAATTTCAAAACCTCATAATCTCAGAATTTAACAATCTCTAAATCTTAGAATCCCATAACCCACAATTTTCCAAATATCAAAATCTCAGAATTCATCAAATTTTGGACTCCAAAAATTTTCTTATATTTTTTAACAAAAAAAACTTCAAAACTTCAAAAAATGAGTTCAAATTTTCGAACATTCTCAAAAAAAGCATCTGTGAAGTTCTAAAAATAGTACTTCAAGTACATCAAAATTTCTCGATTTGTCTGAAAATCTCAAAGTATACTAAACAAAATTAGAGCATTGTTTTTGTAATTGACCACTTTTTTGTAAAAATCTAACAAAGCGATATATACGGTTTCAAAGTTGGGCATTTATTTCAGTTCGGCACTTTTTGGATAACAAACGACATATCTCAATGGATTGAATATTGGTGAAAAAGTTGTCAACTACAAATTTGAAGCTCTATTTTTGTTCAAAATATTCTAGAATTTTTAGACATATCGATAAAATGTTGACTGCATTTTTGGGACCCCGTTTTCATGGAACACCATTAGAATATCATATACAGTAAACATAACTTTGAAACAATTTATCTTCGTTCTTGTGAATGATATCAAAAAGTGATTAACTGGCAAAATGTCCATTATAATTTGGTAAACGTTTTACCAGTTGAGCACTTTTTGATATCTTCTACGGGTTTGAAGTTGACAATGTGGCCCCTCTAAATGAAGGAGGAGGAAATTCTATCAGATGCTAGTTTTGTGTGGTACTACTCTATGAATTTGTTTTCCCAATTTCAGGTTAATTTTTGAGATAATTTCAACTACGTAGCACTTGTGAACTCTATATCTGTCTTCCGATCCCATCTGATCTCTCCTTCCCCTCCCCCTCCCTATTCAAATTGTAATTAAAAATTGAAATTAAATCCGGCACGTTCCTTGGAAAATGTGTGAATTCTCTCTCTCTCTCTCTCTCTCTCTAATGAATAAGTAAAAACTCGAGCTACGTAGGCGATACAACATCTAACGTCTTCTTCCATTTCTCAGTCGTAATTCCAACAATTTTATTCCCCAAAGGGAATTCAATCACGTTTTCTTTCTTCCGGCTATTCTCTCTTTGTTGGCAACACTGGGGGCTAAAAATGACCAGAAAAAGAGAGAAACTATACTAAAAAAAATCATCTGACGTCTCCTTTTCAGATGACGTTGTTGCGTTCTCTTCTACGAATTTGGGGGAAAAAACTCAATTTCGGAAACATGTCTTTAAAAATAGTACACTTTTTTGGGGGTCCCAAACTTTGTTGACATCATGCAAACGGAGATTCTGAATTTCAGAATCGATCATCATCGTATAGATGAAATTGGCACAATTTTAAACTTTTATAAAAGGAAAAAAGAGGATTGGGCTATTTAAATAAGAAAATATGAATCAGGAAAAAAGAGTTTTTTGATGACTTTTAAAACTTCTTCCTTGTACAAAAACTGAGGATTTGAGGGGGCGAAAACAGGGGGAGCACTTTTTTTGAACTTTTTTTTTTTTGAAATTTTAAATCAATTCCAATTTTTCAAGATTTTTCAAGTTTCTGGGGTTTCATTTTACAAACATTTTAAAATTAGATTTTCCATTTTCTGGAAACAACTCGGACTTTTTTTTGAAATTATCATGAACATTTATAAATTTTTACAATTTCCAAGCTTTCAAATAATTTGGATTTATTGAAAATATTCAAAATTATAATCTGAAAATCTGAAATTTCAAATTCAGATTTTTTTTCAATTTTAGGATTTTAAGATTCTAAAGTTATGAGATTCTGAGATTCCGAAATTTTGAGATTCTGAAACCGCGAAACTATGAAATTCTGATCTTCTGAGATTCCGAGATTCTGACATTTTGAGACTCTGATATTCTGATATTCTGAGATTCTGAAATTCTGAGATTCTGAGATTCTGAAATTCTGAAATTTGAAGATCCTGAGATTCTTGGGTTTTGAGATTCTGAGATTCTGAGATCCTGAGATTCTAAGATTCTGATATTCCGAAATTTTAAGGTTCTAAGTTTCTCAGATTCTGAAATTCTAGAAACCCAAATTCTGAAAATCTGGAAATTCTCTTTTTTAATTTTAGCAAAATTCCTGAATACCCTCTTTTTATCATCCCTTCATTTTTTTTCATTTATTTTGCTCATTTTTCATTCCAAAAAATGACGAGTGGTCCTTTATTGGTCACGGATAACTGGGTCCAAAAATTTGCAGAAAACCGGCTTCATTTTCTAAAAAATGAGTCAGTTTTCCAAAAAATCTACAAATAATCTTTGTAGTTTGTAGTTTTGCCCATCTTATCCAAAAAAATTTTTTTTTCAAAAATAAATATTTTTAGACACCATCTGTAAGTGACACATTGCATTTTCCGCCCACCATGTTCAAAATTAATCATAATTTTTCCCCAAAAACTTTCAAAGATTATTCCTAAATAATTTCCGGAAATCGCGCATCATCAAAAAAGTATTGCAAAAACAGAAAGCAAAAAAGGAAATTGCACGGATTCTAACCCACTCACTCACAATGTAAAATCAATTATTCATGAGACCGAAAAACCCAAAAAAAAGGGAAAAACGGGTGTCCGAAATGTGGGTGGACATGATGTGATGCAAAATTTATAGTCTGGGGAATGGGATTCAAAAAGATCTACAGTGATCTGAATTTTCTGAAAATGGGACTTTCAGGGATTGTTTGTGTTTCGAAAGTAATGAGTTTCGAAAGTTTTTTTGATATTATAGAGATTCTTTTGTTTTTGTGTCTTCTGTAGTCTTCTCATATGACAAATAAACCCTATTTTGTCATTTAACATTTGAAGTTTGACCAATTTAAGACATTTAGGACTTTTTCTTTTCTAGTTTGACCATTTTTTGAAATTTAGATATTTTTATATTTCCAATTTTGCACAATCTGCAATTCTGAAAATCTAAGGTTCTGAAATTCTGAGATTCTGAGATTCTGAGATTCTGAGATTCTGAGATTCTGAGATTTTGAGATTTTGAGTTTCTGAAATTCTGAAACTTTTCTTCTGAAATTCTTAAAAAGTTTCTGAAATTCTGAAAAATTCTGAAACTCTATTCGAAGTTATGCAATAATCTCTTGAAACTTCCGGAAAATACAGTAGTTCCTTAAAAACCCAAAATTACAGTAATCCCTTGAAACCCCAAAAAGTACAGTAACCCCTAAAGCGAAAAAAAAACATTATTCTCTCAAAATCTAAATATAAAATCTAAAAATAGTGATCCTTCAAAATTCAAAAAAAAACAGTAATGCCATATAAGCCAAACAAATATAGTAATCCCATTTTCTAATTATTTCAGCCGTCGACGATTCGTCACTGATCCGTTTGCGTCGTAGTGGAATCCTTTTTGGAAAATTGGCAAGAAACTGGGCGGCAGATGACAAGCGTGTCGTGTTGAGACCCCTTGTGGAGTACGAACCAGATCCTTGGCATTGACAAATTTTCCAGAAATTTTTTTTTCTTTGTGTCTGAAAATATTTGATGGTGACAATAATGATGATGGTGGTGGTGTTAATGGCGAAAAATCCTAATAAATTGGTTTCAAAAGTTTGCTTTGGAAAATTACAGCAAAATAATTAAAACAGGCTGTCGAATACTAAAAGTGCCGAAATTACCGTAAACGCTCTAACACCGCCAACATTGGGCTCATATATCTCTTTTTCTGTGAAATATATCAAAAAGTGGTAAACTGACAAAATATTTATTAAATTATCATACATATTCTATCAGTTGACTACTTTTTGATTTCTTGTACAGGTATCGAGATAAATGAGCTTAAAAGTAGCTGTTTGGGTGATCTGTGTTTTTAGTATCCCTGAAATGAGAGTTGTGCAACTATAAAACCGCTTATCTCACTTGGTTGGGTTTGTACAAAAAAGTTGTCCACTACAAAAATAAAGCTCTATTTTTGTTTAGTATACTCTGAAATTTCTAGACAAATCGAAAAATTCTAAACTTATTTTTTAGGACTACAAAGTTGACTATTTTCGGCTCTAGTAAGAAATTCTGGTCCTTAGAGAAAATTTGGGTCCTTAGAAATAATTCTGGTCCTTAAAAAAAAATTTGGTATATTCACCAAAAGTATCAATGACTTCTTGCCAACGCAATGGAAGTTGAACGATTCCATTACCATAGAACTCGGGAGAATAGGAAGCGAAAACGTCGTCCAACCACTTTTTAACATCCTTTCTATCATGGAATTTCTGCCTACCAAAAAGATTCTGCAGGGAACAAACAAAATATATTCGGATAGAGCCAGGTCTGGTGAATACGGTGAATGACTTAGGTTGTCATGAATCATCAACTAGCTGGAATTTTTCGGGCAATTTGATTGATGATGCAACACTTTTTCCATTTGATAGCAGTCGAGGTCCGGATTAATAACGCCGCCTAGAAGAAGTCTTCTGAAGATAACGCCTTCACTGTCCCAACAAATGGGCAACATAACTTTTTCTCGTGAAGTTCTCCTTTGGTGTCCGTTTAGGCGGTTTTCTCGGCCGGGACCCATCGTCTTTTTTTACTCGTCACCAGTGATAATATTCTCAACCCAATTGGTTCTACGTTTCATAGTAAGCCGAGAATGTGCCATGATGCATAAAAATGATCAATTATGATTCTTTGAGGACGGTTATGACCTGGTGTAAGCTCGCGTGACGTTACTCTTGGTTGTTCTTCCAGTGCGCTAGAGATATCCTCGTTGAGATCAACACGTGGTCGACCAGATCTTCGAGATCGTAGTTCTCTTCGGAGAAACTTTTTAACCAAAACTTTATTATAGTGTAGTACATAAAGTTATCGCCTAACACTGCACACAATTTACGACAAGCTACGCTGCCCTCGTGACCTTGGAGAAACTTGTATGAAAAAGCACCCCTGAGAGCATGGTGGTCTCTAAGCGAATTCCCGGTCATAATGAACGCCGTCGTTAATTTTAACAAATTTTTTAAACATGCACAACTAATACTACAACATAGAAAAAACAGAATAATAAAAAGTTAAACCAACGCTGAGATATGACAGTCCGAAACAAAATTACAAAGACTTTTCGCTCAACCTAATACTTTTTGATCTAAAAACGATTGAACTAATACAGCGAAAAATTCCATTTTTGTACAAAAAATGATTATTCAAATAAATCTAATTTTCTGATTTTAAACTTTCCGAATTTCAGAATTTTGGAATTTAAAATCTTCTAGAATTCAAACTAAATTATCTGAACAGTAATAATCTGAAAAACAATATTATGGCCGGAATTTTAAAAATAAGGATTATTGATTTGATTATTTTTTTTAATATTCAAAAAACCACAATTTTCATTATCTAAATGCTCAAAAAACTAGAAAAAGGAATCATCAAAAAAAACTAACTATGCTAATAAAAAGAGTGAGAATAATGTTTTTCAGAGAACAAAATAACTGAAAAAAAATAACACTTCCTTCATATTTTTCGAATGTCAATAATGACACAGAAGAAATAGACGGACAATATAGTTTTGTCATTTACACAAATAATGAATTAAATATCGAAAATGAATTTCTGAGTCATTTAAACTTTAAATTAAAATGAATGGAAAAGGGAAAGGAGAGAACAAAGGTCAGAGGAAATTTGAAATATCAGAAAACATTTGGTTTTTGAATAAAAAATCATGAGAAATTTCAGAAAAAATCCGGCAAAATTCAGAAAAATTTAGGAAAAATCCATGAAAAACAGATATTTATTGGAAGAAAAAGTAAAAATTCAGAAATTCTCTAAGTTTGGAATAATTAGATTCTAATGTTCTGATTTTGAAATTTCGAAAATCTGAAATTCTGAAATTCTGATACTCTGATATTCTGAAATATCAAGTGTCTGAAATCCTGGAATTATAAAATTCTGAAAATCTGAAACTCTGTTTAGGAACCCTGAAAAAAACCTGAAAATCAGAAAATCCTGAATTTCTGAAAAACTGAAATTCTGAAAGCTTGAATTCTGGTTTTGAATTTCAGGAAAACACTGAAAATTTCAGAAACGGTCGAGAATTTTCAAAATTGAGAAAACTGGATTAAATTCAAAAAGTTTTTCATGTTTTTTTTTTGTTTTTGGAATTTTTTGTAAATTTAAAAGTTCAAAAATCTCTGCACCATATAATTTTTATATTATTCTGTGCTTTGCATATGACAAAAATCACAATACAAACTACAAACCCATATTTTTAATTTTATTGGAATCTAACTCAATTTTTTTCAGCTCATGTTTTCCAATTTTCAGAACAGATAGTGGGCGAAAAAAACGGCAATTATTATGATATTTTTTTCTGATCATGGGTTTTTTTTCTATTATTATGACTACTAGTGTCTAGTCTCTCTGGTGTTTTTTGAGATTCTAAGAAAAATTTGAAAGTTTTCAATTTTTTAATTCCAGCTGAAAAAGATGAGCAATTTGGAGTCAGATTTGTCTCGGGTGATCATCACTATTGGTTCAATTTCAGCAATTTTCAGTGGGATATTGGCATTTTTAGCGTTGAAGTAGGTTATTCATCTTCAGTGACATTTTGAGAATCTATAAAATTAATTTATGATTTTTTTTTGGAAACATTATATCTCAAAAGTTTGCGAAAGTGTTCCAATTTTTTAAATTCCTCCCAAATTTGGAATTTCTAAGCAACCCTTTAATAATCTCTCTTCCCAGTATTTTCTGATAGAAAACAACTGAAACCACGGAAGTTCTGGAAAATTCAAAAAATGCAAAAAATTGCTGAAATTCCAAAAATTCTGAAATTTTAAAAAACCTGATATCATGAACTTTTCAGAATCCGACCAACCTATCTAAACCGTTACCAACACATTCTAGTCGCCATCGCTCTAACTGGATTGATCTACAGTATCTGTGAAATATGTACAGTACCCTATTGGTATGTTTCTGATGGAGATTTCGTTCTTTTCGCGGTGGGACCCATTCAAAACGGACAGATTGCTCAGAATCTACTATTGACTTTTGCGATTTCTTTTATGCAGTCATTATTTTTGATATCCTATTCTTTTGTGTTTCAGTATGCTCAGGTTTGCAGGTCTGTGAGTTTCTGTGTAGAGTGGATCATTTTTTTGAAACCCAAAAAATCCAAAACAAAATCGACAAATCTGAATAACCGAAAAATGACCTTGTTCTTTGATTTTTGAATTCTCGAGCTTCAGGGTTTCTGGATTTAAAATATCAGGTTGTCCTGTATTTCCTGAATTTCCTGAGTCTCGAATTTTCTGAAATTCCTTCTTTTTTTATAATTCCAAAATTACTGATCTTCTAGATAGTTTTAATTTTTAGATTAGTGATTCAGGATTACTGGAATTTCTGAAGTTTTCAACCCGAATATCAGAATTTTCCGGAACTTCAGATTTTTCACGATTTTCGGGATTTCTGAATTTCCAATTTCCTGAATTTTCAGGTGATTCAAATTTTACCGAATTTTTCTGATTTTCATAGTTTTCTCAAATTTCTACTTCCTCCTTTTTCGGATATTCCATTTTTTGAGGATTTTCAAGTTTTCCGAAAATTCTGAATCTCAAAACTTCAAAAAGATTTTGACTTTTCGATTTCCTGAAGTTCCAAGTTATTAAGAGTTGCATGGGAAATTGGATTTTAAGGATTTTTCTATATTTTCCGAATTTGGGATTTCTGAAATTTCCTTTTTTTCGATGATTCATGATTTTCTAGGAATTTCGAGTTTTCAGAATTTTCTGGAATTCAAAATTTTATGTACAAAGCTTCTGAATTCCCTATTTCCTCTTGAATTTCTAAAATTCAGGCAGTTCAGAAATCCCTGGAATATCTGATTTTTCCAATTTTTCAGGTATGCCTAAATTTCTGAAATTCTGAGTTTCCTGGAAATTTAAATTTTCTCGATTTTCTATGATTTTGGATTTTTTTAATGATTCTTTGGTTCCACAGAATTTCCCGAATTTTCAGAAATCTTTTTTTTTTTTTAAACTGGACCTTCTGCTTTTTTGGAGTTTTCACATTTTTCTAGAGATCTTTTTTTGTGTAAAATATAAAAAATTAGAAGCTTTGCAAAATTAAGAATCCAATTTTTAATTTCCAATAATTTCAGATCTGAATGGTTTCGAAAATTCCGCTACCTGAAGTTCCTATCTCCTCTTATTAATATTCTAATTATCACAAACTGGCTAATTGCAGTAATTTATTGTTTCACTCCAACGGATGAAAAAATGAAAAAAGCGAATGAATTCGTTTTGAAAAATATGAAAATCCATTTAAACGAACGACCATTTTTGGGATTCTCATTGGAAATCCAAAAATCCGATTTTCTATTTTTTGCCGTTATTTTCAATATGATTTTTCTATTTTTTGTTCTGTTTTCATGCATTTTATTCTCTGTAAATCGAATAATTTCAAAAATTTCGTCGGATTTATCAAATCGAAATCATTTTTCATCGATTTATCGCCTTCTTTGTGTTCAATGCATTTCTCCGACGATTTTTATAATTATTCCGTTCACTTTTAATATTATTACTGGAGTTTTAGGCATCGATTTGGGAGAGGTATGATTTTCTCACTAGAAATTTCTGAAATTCCTGAATTAGAAAATTTTAAAAATTTAAAAATTCCGAAACCGATGAAACGGAGATTCCAAAATTAAAAAAAAAATACTAAAAATTCTTTCAAAAGTTTCAATAAAAATTTTCAGACAATTCCTTTCATTTTGGCATCTCTTCTCCCAATGTATCCTGCGGTAAACTCTATTTTGATGATGTTACAAATCAAGGATTTTCGAAATTTTCTTTGTTTTTTCCACAAAAAACATAGAAATTCAACAATCATTGATAATAGACGAAAATCGATTATCGTTTCATTGTAATTTTTTGGTTTTTTTTCTTAAATTTATTTTTTGTAAAACCTTTTTTTTTGAGTAAAAATTCAGATTTTTGACAATTTTTTAGTTTTTTTTTCTATAATTTTGAACATTTTAAACAACATTTCCTACTGATTTTTATCTAAAAATGAGATTTTCCGCTGGAAAATGAACCTTGTTGTTGTGCGTCAGTTATAGTGCATTGTACGCAATGTTTTACTATTGCGCGTCAGTTATAGCGTTTTGGACGCAATTCGACACTTCAGTTCAAAAATTGGCGCGAAACATAGTTTTTCAATTTGGGGAAATTTCATTATACCCCCCCCCCCCCCCACACACAGTTACGACCCCTCACGTACTGGAATAACCCCCCACCCCGTCGAAAAGTAAGGGGGGGGGGGGGGGTTAAAACGGTGGGGTTTCAAAATGGGATGATCAGGTGGGGGGACATTTCAAAATATCCCCCACCACCGTTGATTTGGGGGGGGGGGGTTATATTGGAATCCGTGGAAATCTTTCATTATAACCCCCACACCATACCAATATGCACCCCCCAACGGAAACTTCGGAATACCACCCCGCGTGGGGGGTCAGATTGGAACGGATTGCGGGGAAGGGGGGTCATATTGAAATGGTGGGGGCTTATTTGTAATCTTTAAAATTTCTAGGTGTCTTGTTTTCAAAGAATACGCCGATTTAGGGTGCTAAGCTTATTTTTATTTGGAATCTTCAACATTTCTACCAGTTCTTGCCTAAGCCTATTTTTTGTTGGGGACTGGCATTAAATTATTATTTCTATAGTAGAATGACAAAAAAATGTACGGTAATATAAACCAGAAATCAGGAAAAATTGAGAAAAAAGTAGAAAAAACGCGGAAATCTAAAGAAAACTAACAAAAAACCGGTGCAAAATCGATAACTAACAAATATTTTTCTATGCGTCTTTTGGCTTCGTACGTTTGATCTTCAGGCAAAAAATCAGGAAAAACATTTTTTGAACCCCCCACCCGCCTTATGAAAGATGGTGGGTGGGGGTGTATTCCAACATTTATGCCAGGGGTGTTATATTAGAATGTTTCGGGAGGCTATACTGGAATATACCCCCATTTTTAGCATTGAAATCAAAGTTTTCTCGAGTTTTTACTATTTTAGGGTCAAAAATCTAACACACACAATCAAATTTTATTAGAAAAATAGAAAATACACATAACAAAAAAATAAATCGATAATCTATGGAAGAATCAAAAAGTCAACAGGAACTTTATAAGTAGTTCCGTACTCGTTGAATCTCACGACGGCAGTGTGATTCGCTTGTAGTTCTATTATCGTCGCCGCATACAATTTTCCGTCGGTCCACGTGGCAAGGCACTGAGCACCGACGCTCCATAGTGGTGGTCCCTGGAGGTTATTGTGGTTGCCACGTGGCTGCTGCTGGTGCTGCTGGTTCTGATAATTGCCACGTGGCTGATATTGGTCATGTCCTCCTTGTTGATTGCCACGTGGCTGTTGTTGCTGTTGTTGGCCTCCATGGAAGGTATTCTGATTGCCACGTGCTGCTTGGAAGCTTTGCTGATAGTTGCCACGTGGCTGCTGCTGACCTCCTTGGAAGTCATTTTGGGTGCCACGTGGCTGATACTGGTCATGTGCTCCTTGTTGATCGCCGCGTGGCGGATGCTGTTGCTGGCCTCCTTGGAAGGGATTTTGATTGCCACGTGGCGGTGCTGCTTGGAAGCGTTGCTGATAGTTGCCACGTGGCTGCTGCTGCCCTCCTTGGAAGTCATTTTGGGTGCCACGTGGATGTTTTTGTTGCTGTTGTCCTCCTCCTTGAAAATTCTGATAATTGCCACGTGGCGGCTGCTGCTGTTGTTGGCCTCCCTGGAAGGGGTTCTCATTGCCACGTGGCTGGAAATTCTGAGCTTCGTAGTTTCCACGTGGATTCTGATTTCCATGTGGCGGTTGATTTTGTGGTCGACGGGACGCGTCAGATAGGCCGCCAGTTTGAGGGCGATCTGAAAAATCGATTTTTTTGAAAATTTAAAAAATGAAATTTAAAAAAAACGATCTAGAAAAAATTAGGCCATGACCTAGAAAAATTAGGTCATGGCCTAGAAAAATCTAGATCGTGACCTAGAAAAAATTAAGCCATGACCTAGAAATTCTGGGACGTGACCTAGAAAAAAGTAGGTCATGATCTAGAAAAATTTGGGGATGACCTAGTAAAATCTAAGTCGTGACCTAGAAAAATTAGGTCATGACTAAGAAACTCAAAAAAACCGCACTTTGTTGATTCTGTCGCTGATTTTGAGGCGGTTGAGTAGTTGGGCGGTCTGAAATTCTCTGCTGATTCTGGAATTTTCCAGAATTTCCGCCTCGTTCGCTGCCACGTAGCGGACGATCCTGATGGTTGCCACGTGGATTTTCAAAGGTTTTGGACGATGGTCCGGCGCCACCACCGCTTCTAGTGTCGTTTCGGTCGTTTCTCGGCGGGCGGTCTGAAAGAAAATTGCATATTCGATCTACTGATATTTTTTCCAGATTCTCAATGGAGCGCATTTCCTCACCTCCATGTTTTCTACCACCTCTCGACGCTCCGCCTCCTCTTCCAGATCCCCCAGCTGACACGTGTATTTTTGCAGTCTTTTCGGTGACCGCCTCCACAAGCTCCGCCCCTTTTTCCCCACCACCCCCAATAAAATCGAAAAGGGTCGCCGGCCCGCTGGGCTTGTGATTCGCATATTCTCCAAGATCCACGTCGGGTCCATCTTCGGAATTCTTGCGGCCACGCCCCTTTCTAGAAGGTTTAGTGGAAGTGGGCGGAGCTTCTCGCCGTTCTTTCGGTGGGGGCGGAGCTTTGACAGGGGGCGGGGCTAGGTTGGGTTTGGCGAAAGTTTTCGTGTCGGTGGCGTCCAAATCTTTGAGAATTTCTGCGCGGTTTTTGGAGAAGTCGTCAGCGTCATCGCCTTCTTTTTGGAGGGTTTTTGGCATCACGGAATTCGCCTGGAATTGGGAAACATTTGAAAGTTTTTACTGAAATTAATTTTTCCCGGCGAATGATTTTTTCTGAATTTTTTCTTTATTTTTATGTCAATCTACATGCTCTTCTGCACATTTTGATGCAATAAAAAATTGCACCGTACACCACCTTTAACTAAATTTTTACAAAAAATTCAAATTCGACTTTTTTTAGATTATTTGACAGAAACCAAAAATTTTTATTTTGTGAAAAAAATTATTCGTATTCGAAAAAAAAATACTTTTTTTTGAAATTTTTTTTAATTTCCCAATTTTTTGCGCAAAAAAATCAATATCCATACCTTGAATCCCTTCTCCAATTGTCCTCCTTTCTGTCCTCTTTTCCCAAAAGACACCCATTTCGGTGCCCCTGTCCCCTTTCCAACACTCGATTTGAATCCATCGGCTCTGACCGAACTCTTCTCAACATTCCACTTCTCAATCATCTCCTCCACACGACCGCCCAAAATTTTTACATGTTTCTTTTCCAAAATCAAAAAATTTCCTCCCTCCATTTCAATTTTCCCGTTAATTTGAATTTTTGTGCCTGGCGGCGTGTCGGAATTGATTCCAGGGATGGTATGAAGGACCAAAGCGGATAGAGATGTGTGTCCATCCGTGAGAAAAAGACGGATTATCGAGTGAGACGGATCCGTTTGGTTTAGCTCTTCCTGCAAGAATTATCGATGATTTTTCAATTTAAAAATCTGAAAAACCTTGATTCTTGGCACTGAAACATTTCGATAACGAAGCAGTTGAAGCACACATGGTCCTTCCAAAATCGACTCGTCCTTTTTATGCAAATTGATAATGCTGGCTTCGCCGAAATTCCGCAGATCCTCGTTCAGAATCACTTTTAGAATCTCCGGTGACGTCTTCGGCAGAACGCCTTCATCGAAGTAGTCGGCGGTTTGCGATTCGTTGATGTGCCAGCCATCTTTTCGGAGTTGCTCCATCTGCGAAACATTTTTTTCTTATATTTCATGGTTTTTCTAAAAAAGCGAAAAAAATTCGAAAAATTACAGTACCTTATAGGCGCACGCCAAAAATTTGTTCTTCGGGTTTCGCCGCGAAGAACTTTTTTTTGTAACCTAAACATCTAAGTAAATCTGCAGATTTTTTGGAGCCAAACAAAAACTGACAAAATCTTCGAAACATTTTTTTTCTTACTGGCTTTTCTAGCAAAAAATCGCAAACAAAAACTGAAAATCAAAAAAAAATTATAGTATCTTAAAGGCGCAACCCCAAAATTTGTTCAGTGGGTTTCACCACGAAAACATTCTCTTACATATCTGTGCGAATAAATTGCACAAAAATCAAGTAAAATGGATTTTGAAGACACAAAAACCGGCGAAACCTTTGAAAAGAACAGATAAATAAGTAATTTTCATTAAATGAGACCTTGGTTACGGAATTTCAGTGTCGAGGAAAATCGGAAAACACCGGAAAATAAATAAGTGAGAAGAAAAGTTTTGGTCAAAATAATTATAGTATTTACATTGAAAGAATAACGGCTAAAATAGTACAGATTATTCTCCAGATAGATTAAACTTCTGAAATTGCGGAAATTCCATAATGTCGCAATAGAAGTCGGCGGGACTTCTAATTTGTTGAAGACGTAGCGTTTGGCCGACGTGGAGGGATTCTGAAGGCGGTGGCGGTCGGTAGTAGTTACAAGAAGCAGCGGGCGGGAAGAAGAAATCGCAAAAGTAGGTGTGCGGTTCTAGTGAGACGACTTCGTGGATGTTGCCTAAAAAAAACCCACGTTGCAAGACATTTATTAGGCTAGACTATCGATTTTTAGGTATTCTAGCCTCAAAAAATCGACTTTCCCCACCGATATTTGGTCCAAGCGCTGCCGAATGTCGTCCCTCCGATCCACCACTTAGCACTGTCTCTCCCTCGTATCTAACTAGTAACCGCGGCCGCCCGTCCTCCTGCTCCCAGTAATCTTCATCGAACGTCTCCTCCAGAATCGTGAACGATCGAATCCGCACGGCGCCTTGGAACACCTTCATCACCGCGTTCTCGGCCGGATGATCGTGAAGCGGGATTTTCAGTCCGGCGTGGCTGAAATTTTGAAATTCGGGGAAAATCTAGGCCACCGCCGCCACGTACGCAAAACCAAACGCGTTGACGTGGCAGAATTCGTCTTTGTAGATGTCGGCGTACTGAATTCCAGACGACTCTTTGTTCGTCGTCGTCGTCGGCACCACGGACGAGAACATTGTGTGAACGACACGACTGAATCGATTCGGTAGGAATTGTCCTGGAAGAGGTTTTTGTTTGTCGATGGCCTAGATTTTCGGGTTGGGGATTTTTAGGCCATGAAGCTCAAATTCATGTTTCTGACCTCAAAAATCCGTTTTCTCAGAAAAAATTGTTTTCGTTGCGAGACCCGTGTGAAAGAAATGCTGGGTCTGCGCCTTTAAAATACTGTAACTTTCTAATTTCTCAAGCCAGAAAATACAATTTTTGGCCTGAAAATCCCATTTTTTCTTACTCAAAATCGACGAATCGAAATTCGCAACGACTGAATGAATAATATTAACCGATTCCGGCGACCCATCGAACCGCTTTGCCATCATAGCTATCCGCCGCAACATCATCTGAAAGTGTCGCGTTGGATTTTCCATTTTTGTCTGAAAAAAAATAAAAAAATCTGGAAAATTCACAAAAAAAAATCGAAAAAAGATAGATAAAAGGAGCGAAAACCAAAGAGAACAATCACACAGAACATAAAAAAATGCAAATAAATTAATTTGAAAAATGCGAAAAATAAATTATCACAAAAAAAAAATTATAACTGGTTTTCTGTCAGATTTACCCGGGATTTTTTTTGGAAAATCATAATAAATGAATTATGCAAATTTTGGGAGAAATATCACATTTCAAAGAGCCGGAGAGAGGGGGGAAAAGGCACAATTGGTGAAAAAACAGCTAGAAAAAATTGGGAAAAATGAATAATTAGAGGCTAGAAACAACGAAAAAACGTCTATTTATATGAGAAAATTACATAATTTTGGTGGAAAACATGGGGTTTTTTTGCAAATTTTTTTTTTGAAAAAAATGAAAAATTCGCCGAAAAAATAACAAAATTCTCAGATTTTTCAAAAAATAACAAAAAAAAATATATGAAATTTCTTGTTTTTTGGGAATTTCAAAAGAAAAAATTGACAAATTCAAAAAGTTGGTAAATCCTCTTTTTAAAAAAGGCCTAAAAACAAGAGAAACAGTGAAAAATCCATGAAAATTATCTCAAAATCCGCGCCTCCTCGTCCCATCCCACCTGGATATCCGATTTGGGGTCCGGATAGCTCATGCTCCAGATTTTCTCGCCGCACGCCGTCTCAGAAGTGCAAAAATCGACGATTTCAAAAAAGTCGCGGAGATATGCCACGTGGCAATCGACATTTTGTTCGGTGTAGACCGAGAAACGAAGGGTGGCGAGAGGGGATTCTGATGAAGATGGAGAGAAGACGTCGACGAAGAAATCGGGGCACGTGGAGAGATTGGAGAGTCTGAAAATATAAGGATTAGCAATGGATTAAAGGGGATAAGGAGAGATAGTGCGAGACGCAGAGAAAGCTACAAGGTTTTACTTTTTGTATTAATTTTTATTTTCAAATTCCTGCCGAACACTTTTGGCCGAAAACTGAATTTTTGAGTGCAAGAGACTTAAATTCTGTCACAACAAAATCCCAAAAATTAAAAAATCGAGAATTCGAGTTTCGATTCAAAGATAATCCCCACCTCTTCCCAACATCCCAACTATCAAACTGTCCGCCGAACACCGAATCGTACGGTTTCACAATCGATTTATCGATTTTTTCCGGACCATTTCTATACTGGAATTCGATTTCCGGGCTCGTTTTGTCATTTTTCTTCACACGTTCAGTTGGTGACCATTCCAAACGGGTGTGCAGCGTGTCTTTCTGGAAAATGTATTTTGAAAATTTAGGAATTCTTGAATTTTTTTTTAACTGAAAAATCTAAAAAATTGCCGGAATAACACCGCATAATAATTTTATACATTTTATTATCATTTTTTTAAATTTTTTCAAAAACTTTTTTTTTTTTTTTCAAAATTTTTTCAAAAAATTTCAAATAAAATTTTTTTTTTAATTCCAACGATGTTACCTCCGTCACAAAACCCATATACTCTCTGCAAATTTCCTCTTTCCACTCAAATTTCGTGCCATAAACCACGTCTTTCAACACGTAACCATCGACCTCCAAGGCTCCACTCGTTGATAAATTGACATGGGATTTTCGATGAATCAAAAATTCGAAATTCGCCCCACTCTGCGTCTCCACCTTCATCACAATCTCTATTTGAGCGTTGTGATGAGCTCGCAAAGCGTCGATTTGCACGATTTTCGCCATTTTTTCATGGGATTTGATGGTATTTAAAGCAAAGGACGCTAGGCTTCTATGAGCAATTTTTTCCTCGTCGATTCCAAATTTAAAAATATTGGCATAGGCGAAATGGTAAGTTGGGTGGTCCATTTGGATTTTCGAGGTGGACATGGATTGTTGCTCAGCCGATTCAATGGCTTCAATATCAACCATACTGTCGAATTTTCGAGCAAAGTACGTGGGTTTGGAGATTGCTTTCTGGAAAAAAAACGACAATTTTAGGAAGATCTGAAAAAGCCCCGAAAACACCGAAAATTCCAAAAAAGTTTTTAAAAAATTCCATTGTTTTAAATTTTCGATTTTTTGGCAATTTTTCCACAATTTTCTCAATCTGACCTACATCTAGAGTGCCGAGTCGACTCGAAAATCGACGGTTTTTTGTCGACTTGGAAATCGACACAATCGACATTCAACAATTCGACAAGGCTATTTGCCGATGAAAATCGAACTTTTCATTGTCGATTTTTGTCGATTTTGCGTCGACTTAAAACCGACAAAAATCGACAAAAGTCGACGGAAAATCGACTTTTTCGGATTTCAATTGAACTCGTGGTGACCTAGAAAACTCAACTTGCAAATGTTATACCATCATGTCAAAATGGCCTAAAAACACAACAGAGTCATGTTCGGACATTTTTAGATCATTTTGAAGTGGTGGCCTAGAAAAGCAAATTTTCAAAAGTTCGGCCACCACTTCAAAATAGAGCACACTGACAGTTTCAAACAGGCACAACAAAAAAAAGACAGTTTCTAGGTCACCGGCGGTGTAATCCTCTCGGACATTAAAATCGATAAAAATCGACTTTTGTCGATTTTTGATTGAGTCGACGAAATCGACACCGATTTTGTCGATTTTTGTTGATTGTCAACAATCGACACAGCACACTACCTGCATCTCAAACTTGATCTTCGTATCCTCTCTAAAAACCAACGGCGAGCAACCGCACCAATCAACAATCTGCTTCAAAGAAGCACAACGACATCCCTGCTTCCTCAACCAATTGGTCAATCTCAAATTGCTCATCATTAAATCGTCACAAAACTTTGAGTTGAACGCCAAAGTATGATAAAAGCTCTCCAGTGGCAGCAGGATACTTTCAAACGTTTTTCGCAGTTTCTGAGGCAGCTCCTCGTTGGAAATCGAGTATTCCGCAAGGTCTCGATGAATTCCAACCCAATCCGAGCCGCCATCAATGCGCAAATTTTCAGGAAATTCGCGTTTTCCGATGCGGAACATTCGTTGGTCACACTCGGAGAAGACGAATTCGAAACCTTGTTTTTGAATGAATTTTCCAGTATTGTAGCCGTGCGATGCGAGGAACGACTTGCCTTGGTGTCTGGAAAACGTGTGTCGGTGTATCCGGATGTCCGATTGATTAATTTTCACGTGAAAAATTGAATTTTTACGTGATTTTTGACGTAAAAATTTTTACGTCAAAAATGCCACGTGGCAAATTTTGACCTAAAAATTGATTTTTCGCGTGGAAACCTAAATTTAACTTTCGAAATGAAAAAATGCCACGTGGCAATTAAAATTTTAAGTGAAATTTTGTACAAAATCACGTGAAAATGGAATTTTCACGTACTTTTTATTCCAATTTCACCTAGAAAAAAATTGCCACGTAGCAAATTTTAAGTGAAAAAATTGGGAAAAAAAAATTGCGTGAAAAATGAAATTTTCACACGTTTTCAAAACATTTTACGTGTGAAAAAATGATTTTTGACGTGATTTTTTTTTTAATTTTGCGATTTTTCACATGAGAAAACGGTAATTTTTGAATTTTTGACGAAAAACGCCAAGTTAAGAAAATTCCAAGTCGCGAAATTTCACGTGAAAAACGTGAAGAATTCTAAGCTTTGCCATTTTTGAATTCGAGTTTTCGTGTGAAAACTTCCACGAGGCAAAAATTCAAAAATTCGCGATTTTGACGTGAAAAACGTAAGAACGTAAATTTCTCATTTTCAAAATGGAAAACAAAGTCACGTGGCACATCACATTTTATGTGAAATTTTGAAAAAAAAATCACGTAAAAATAGAATTTTCACGTAAATTTTATTCCAATTTCACCTAGAATTAAAATTCGACTGGATGTCTTACTCCGTAATCAATCTCTCAAAATCCTGAATCGGCAAAATCGGAAAATCGCTTTCGGAAAAATTGAAAATATAATCCCAATCCTTGAACATCTCAATTTCCATCGAATCCCGTATCACTTGTTGAAACATTTGCAGCAACGAGGCTCCGCCCCAAATCGTACTGTATCTAGTGCTCGTTATGTGAATATTCGGCACTTTTTCAGCGATTTTCGCCATTTCCGAGTACATGTAATTCTGTCGTTTGTCCACATGAATGTAATAGTAGTGGTTGGGAAGATATATTGATTTTAGGAATCGTTTGACTTGTCGTTCGTTCCGACCGTTTAGCTGGAGAAGGAATAGAATCTTGATGGGCGGTTTGGACACATTTTCAGCTGGTGGCAGATATTTTGGCTTCAGCATAACGAGTTTGTCTGGAAAAAAGCTATTTTCTATTGGAAAAATCGATTTAAAAACCAACTTTTCAGACCAGTCCTAAAAATCTCCACGGCATTGAACCCTCCACAAAACTCGTCTTCGGCTCCTGGACACTTGTAGTTTCTACATTCTCCAGAATCAATTTCCGTCGCATTTGCCACGTCATTGCCACAAAAACACTCCAACCCAAATTCCAGTCCGTAATACAGAAAACCAGCTTTGTAGCAATTCTTGCGACACGTGGATTTGGAATTCGATTGCGGGAATTTGTACTCGAATTCTTTTAGGACCCGCGCATCTTTCTTATCCAGAAAACACCCGATTCGCTGGTCGATTAGAGCGTCTTGGTGGTTTGAGCATGTGGATTGGGGGAAGGATTCTGAGAATGTCCCATTTTTGAGTTGACAAGCTTCGAGTTGTAGTTTGGATTTGCAGCCGGGTGACGTGGCACGGGAAATCGCGCTCTTTGCCAGCTCATCAACAATTTCACAGGTAGAAATTGGATCAACTAGGGGAACCTTTGGAGTCTGGAACTAATTTTGAAATTTATTTTTTTTTCCAATTTTATTAAATAAAAAATCTATTTCCCTACCTTTTCCCTTGTTTCCCCTTCATCTTTCCTAATTTGCACCGAGTTCTGAGCCGAATAAAGCAGATAAACGTTCAGAAAGAAGAATAGGACAATCACCAGCGCATAATGTCGATAATTTGTGTTCACACCGCCAACAACCACCATTTGAATGAGGAACTGCGGTCCTGGAAACTTCATGACATTTCAAAATGCTTTTAAATGGGCGGAAAATTAGGGAAATCCCAAAAATGTTTATAATTTACGACAGACCGGAAACAGATGTCCGAGAGCCCAGAGCCCTTCAAATCGTACTATTTCGAAATCAGATGTTTGAAAATAAAAAAAATTATTTAGATTGAAATTTCTTCGAAATTTTTGCGAATTTTTAAAGAAAAACCGGAAGGATTTGGCTTTGAAATGACAAAATAAGGATTTTCCGAGAGGAGTACACCAGACGGAGCGGAGAAGCGCGCTCTATGGAGAAGTTAAAATAGAGGGAGATTCAAAAATAAGAGAGTTTTTCATCGTTTTTCTGAAACTTTCTTTTTCAAAAGGACTCCAAACTTCTCGGAGCCCAAATTGCCGAAAAGTATTATTTTCAGAAAATTTCGATGTTTCGAAAATCATAACTCTAAATTGTACCAGATTTTGGGATCTTTATTCATTCAAATTTTAAAAATTCAAAAGATTCGGATTTTTCCGAACTTTGGGATTTTCTAATTTCCCAAGAATTCAAATTTACCAAAAATAGAATATTCTCTGATTTTAGGATTGATCAAATGTACTGGATTTGTGGAACTTAAAAAAATTTTTTGAACTTTTCGAATTTTTTAATTTTCCGAAATTTTTGAATTCTGAGCTTGTGAAAACTTCGGCTGTTAAAAATGTTCCAATTTTTCCAGATTTTTTAAAGAAAATTCAAAATTTCACAACTTTGAGAAACTCAAATTTGAAGATTTCCCTCAAACTCTAATTTTCAGTTTTCCCAATCATCCACAAATGTTATATTTCTAAAAATTCAAAAATCTTCCCCCTCTCCTCCTGAAAGATTGGAATAAAATACCGAAATTTGCGGAATTCCAGAACATTCTGCGATTTTCGAGTTTGTGAAAATTACCCTCAAAAACATATTCACCAACATGAATTCCTGAATTTCTGGAATTTTTGGTTTTCGAATTTTCAAATTTTCCATTCTCAAAATTTTCCCCCTCTTCTCCTAAAAGATTAAATCTTTTGGTCCCTCACCATCTGATGGTCAAAGCGCTTGATTTGCGTGCTCTTGTCCATCTTCGCCCATCTAAATTGTATGCCCAAAGTGTCTGCGTCTCCTTATTCTCAACACTCCCTCGCCCGACTGACGCTTTCAAGTAGAAGCCGTCAGATAATAGGATTTCGTGCAACGACGTCGACAACGAAAAACGGAAAGAAGAAGAAGAAGAAGGACCACCCAACGAGTTTCATCAGAGAATAATACACATACTTTTGCATCATTGGGGATAGAGAAAAGAGGAGAAAGAATTGCTAAATTTATTGTCCTCTTCCTTCTATTTTCCGAATTCTTACGTCTTCTTTTTAGTAGTACAACCGTCATCTGAATCCACTTTTCGACGCATATTTTATCAATTTTTTTGGCGGGCGGAGGGAATAGAAGAATTTTTAATTTGAGAGCTCTGACTAGTCTCAGAATTTGAAAATGCAATGGTTTTTTAATCAGAAAGAAAATCACAAAAAATAGCGAATTCCAATAATCCAAAATTTCTGAAAATCTGAAACTCAAAGTTCTAGAAGGCTCGGGATCTTGAAAAATGCTGAATTTATTATTTTTGTATTTCTGGATTTCAGAATATCTGGGATTTTTTGTTTTGTTAATTTTTTTTAGATTTGGGGTTAATCGGAATTTCGGGATTTTTTAAAGTTTTTACATTTTAGGATTTAATTTCGGAATTTCGTAATTTTTGGATTTTATGGATTTCGGTTTTACTTTTTTTTTTTGAATTATAAAAAAGTATTTTTGAAATTGCGATTTTTAAGTTTTTTGGAAATCTTAAAATTTTGAATTTTCAGGGTTTTTTTTCGGTGTTTCTCGGGGTTTTTTGAATTTTCCGGATTTTTCAATGTTTTAACTTTTTGAAATCTTGTAGATTTGTAATTTTGGATTCCAGGATTTCCAGTTTTATTTTAATTTATATTTTTGGTATTTTTCAAATTTCTAAATTACGGAGTTTAAAATTCCAATTTTTGCTTTTCGGAAATATCGAAATTTTCAAATTTCAGTGTCTTATACTGTCTGTACAATAAAATCTGTGCAAGGCGCGTGGGCTAATGTGACACGCCCCTTTATGAAACGCGTTCAAATTTTTCTTTTCACACACGTTTCATAAAGGGGCGTGTCACATTAGCCCACGCGCCTTGCACATATTTTATTGTACAGACAGTAATCTTTTGTGATTCTCGGATTTTTGGTAAAATTAAAACATTCGGGAAAATCTTGAAAACTGAATTTGCAAAAATTTACATAATTGTAAAAAGTTGGAAGTTTTTGAAATCTGATATTGTTTCGATTTTTGGATTTTCAGAATTTTCAAAAAAAATGTGGATTCCGCAAAATTATAATGGAACCCTAGGAATCTGATTTCTCAAAGAATTAATCTGAAACAAAACTCAAAAGTTTTTCAAACATAATTTTCAAATTCTTTGAACATTCAAAGATCAAAAATCTCCCCACAGCCAGTACACAGCTATGTTTATTAGCAAATCCCAAAGAAAAAGTGACCTCTAAAAGTTCCATGTGTGTCTTCTCCCAGTTTCGCCTCCTCCAAATACCGGATAAAAATGGAATAAAAGAGAAGGAAAATGGGGGAGGGAGATGGATCATGGCGGCGTTAAATTGAAGTAAAACTATAGTGACAGATCTATTGATTCCCCCAGTTTTAATTCATCCCTTTAACAGCTTCATTATCATATTCCCACCATGTGATTTTCAAGGTTTCCTCTAATTGAATGTCTCGCCTAACTTTCTTTTTGAGCCTATTTATCTCGGTTCCTGTGTAAGATATCAAAAAGTAGTCAACTGATAAAACGTTTATCATAATTTCATAAATATTTTTTCAGTTGACCACTTTTTTATACCATTTACAGGAAATGAGATATATGAGCTCAAAGTTGACGATTTGGGGGCGCCATCTAGGTGAAATGTACCTTTGAACTCAATTATCTTACTTTCTGTAAATGGTATCAAAACGTTGTCACCTAGTAAAATGCGTAGAAATTCATTTTTTAAATTTTTTAGTTTTTTTATTGAATCCATTTTCAAAGAAAAAAAAAGAGAAGATCAATAAATTGAATTCCTTCCTGTATCTTCAACTGTTATTTCAGTCTTATTCTCACTCTGAATTAGGCAGAATGTGACCCAGCATACATCATCTGCAACATCCTCGGCGTGGCAAGAATCGTAACCTTTAGAACGTTATCTTGAACTTCGTGAACTTCGCAGCTAAACATTATTCTAAGCATCAGAATGGCCAAGGTGCTGATTTTGCTGACCATACCAGATCCAGTTCATCCTTCTTTATATGCTCCTGGCTCCAGAGCTCCAGCTCCAGAGCTCCAGCTCCAGAGCTCCAGCTCCAGAGCTCCAGCTCCAGAGCTCCAGCTCCAGAGCTCCAGCTCCAGAGCTCCAGCTCCAGAGCTCCAGCTCCAGAGCTCCAGCTCCAGAGCTCCAGCTCCAGAGCTCCAGCTCCAGAGCTCCAGCTCCAGAGCTCCAGCTCCAGAGCTCCAGCTCCAGAGCTCCAGCTCCAGAGCTCCAGCTCCAGAGCTCCAGCTTCAGAGCTCCAGCTCCAGAGCTCCAGCTCCAGAGCTCCAGCTTCAGAGCTCCAGCTCAAGAGCTCCAGCTTCAGAGCTCCAGCTCTAGAGCTCCAGCTCTAGAGTTCCAGCTCCAGAGCTCCAGCTCCAGTGCTCCAGCTCCAGAGCTCCAGCTCCACAGCTCCAGCTCCACAGCTCCAGCTCCAGAGCTCCAGCTCCAGAGCTCCAGCTCCAGAGCTCCAGCTCCAGAGCCTCGCTAGCCCCGGCTCCTGGCTCCTGGCTCCAGCCGGAGCTCCATTCCCCTGGTCCCTCTCGAGAGCCCAGGGAAGGCGAGAACTGATTTTTCTCTTCACTTCTCTCTTCCTTTATAGTACTCTTCCCGAGGTCAATGGGCCATTGAGGGTCGTGAATATTTTACGTCGCTTTTTTTGGTGGAGAATTATAAAAAAATTTTTTGCCACGTGATTTTTTTAATATAAAATTTTTCTTCACCACGTTCAAATACTACTTGAATTTTCAATTTTTTGCACGCTGAATTTTGAAAAAATTCGTAGATAAATGAAATCAACTGCCAACTTTGAGCCAATTTATCTCGGTTCCTGTGAATTCCATCAAAAAGTTGTCAACTAATAAAATGTGTCAAATTTTGTTTCACACATTTTGTTAGTCGGTCACTTCTTTGTAGAGTTGAAACGAAATAATATAATTAGGCTAGCAAAAAATGACTCCCGGCAATAAACGACGAGGAGGAATTCTGGCGGATGTCATCAGAGCTCAGTTATCTCGCTTTCTAAAAGCGTTATCAAAAAATTGTTAATTAATAAAATGTGTAAAATTTAATTTTGCACATTTTTTCAGTTTACCACTTTTTGATATCTTCAACAGGAACCGAGATAAATTAGCTCAAAGTTAAAGTGATTTCATCACCGATTTGATGTGTCCCATCCTAGGGACCCCTTATTTCGAAACCTCCTTTTCCATTTTCATTTTTATTTTGGACCCATCTCCCTTGTTTTGTTCTCTCCTTCTAAAGTTGGCTGCCCATCTAGGCCAACATCGTTACTTTGAAGGCGTCTCCTTCCGTTCCTCTTCCTCTTTTTCAAATGATCATCAATTTCCTACAATTCAAAAGTGTCTTCTTCTTCCTTCCAAGGTTCCTTTTTTCTTGATGTCTTCGATTTCTTTTGATCTCTCTATCTTTGAGCCTACCGTATATTGGTTTATGCAAAAGATATCAAAAAGCGCTTAACTGATACCGTAAAACCTCTAATAGCAACTGNCGTCCTCGCCTTTATGTATGCAATCGGGCGTGCGCTTTCTCTTTGCCCGCGTGGCTCAGTCGGTAGCGGCGCCGCACCCTCAATCATCGCCCTCACAGGTTCAACTCCTCGAGAGGCATCTTTGAACGGAATTTCGAGAACATTATTTTTTTCATGTCCCCCCACCTTTAAAAAACAGGAAGAAAGGAACAAAGCAAGGAGGCGGCAGGGAACGAACAGTCGCCCTTTCCTCTATCCCCCTCTAGGGCTTACACGACAAGTGCAGCCGTGGCCGACTGGATAGTGGGCGCGCGCGCCGATCCGAAGACGTCGGAGATTCGGATCCGTCATGTGTCTATTAGCTTTTTCTTCAATTTCCTTTACGTATTTTCCGCGCCGCAGGATTGCAAGCTTCTAAACCCCGCCCACTTTTCTGCGCACCGCAAAAAATGAGGAGAAAGTCAGTACATCGAGGCCTGGTACAAAAGGGTGTGTAACTCGGGATTGAATGAATATTTTTCGCTGAAAATTTGGGAATGAACTTCTATAAGGTAGGAGAAGACAAGCCAACAATAAAAAGTGGGAAAAATCTATTTTGAAAAT